GCTCACTGACCGCCTCTGCGCGTAGTACGGTTTTGGCCCCACTCCGGACGGGGTCCCACTGGTTCGTTCCCTTGGCCTAAGGCTGTTTGACAGGTGCTTGTGTAGTTCCTAGCCCAAGTGTGCCTATGGTCGATGCATCGCTTTCCATCTCGCTGGACTCTAACGCGTCCTAGTGCTTCTTCTGCGACCACATGACCATCACACCATTTTTTTCTCCAGTCTCAATTACACTGGCTGTTCCTACTACAAGACCAGCAGTTGCTTGCAAATCTACCACTCTCTCATGCCCAGCCGCCCCCTCAGGTGCCCTCATTGATCTCCACATCCCCTCGTTCTCCAGGAACTTGGTGGGTGTTGGATACCTTCAAGACCTAGGTGTGGGCACCTGGTTTCCTCCGCACGAGCGTGTCGCGACCTGCACGGACGACACCTACTCTAGCCGCGTTTCGCCGCGAGCCCCGCTCCGGTCTCTTAAGGACCAGCAACAGCTCATTGAGCAACGTGGTGGAAGTCTTAGTCGACAAGCCGGTCGTGCGACGTTCCACTCGATTGAACTTTGGTGTACCTCCAAAATGCCTTGCCAATGTGTGCCTGGCGTTAGGCAACACTCTCCTATACGACGCGCATGCAGCCAGTGCAGTGCTCGAGCTGGATCTCGACTTGCAAGCCGATCCGAGCGGCGTTGGCAAATCTCGACAATGACCATCAAGGAGGCGTTGGCGAGCTGGAAGGGCAAGGCAATGGACAAGGAGATATGGAGTCTCCTCGCCAATGGCACGTAGAAGCTCGTGCCTTGTCCGTGAGGCGTCAACGTCATGAAGAACCACTAGTTGTTCATGACGAAGTATAACGCCAACGACATGTTCGCCCACGAAAAGGCACGAGTGATGGTGAAAGGCTTCACTTAGGTCTATGGTGCTGACTACGAGGAGACGTATGCGCCGGTTGGCAGCTACGTCATACTATGTATCTTCCTCTCCATCGACTTGCACCTCATGCACCTCGTCATGAAGAACGTCTTTATGTGGAGCAAGTTGGATCACGTGTTGTACATGGATTAGCCATCTTACTACAACGATGGCACAAATTGATAAAAGTAGAAGAAAGAAGAGGATTGCACTAGCAAGAATGGGGATACAAATAGCAAACCCTAGAAGGGTTGTACTCGCTATAGAGCACCCCACTACAGGCTAGAGCATAAGATAACATTCTGACACACCCCCATAGCCAAAGTGGGGTGTAATCAGCAGAGCAAGCAAAGCAGTACAAGCTCAGGGTGGATCACAATGTCACCACACATTCTGAGCACAAGTTCAAGAAGCAATAGTTTAACGTTAACAATTATGAGCAAAGCTAGTGGTAGTCACAACGGGCAAGTGAGGAGGAGGAGAGAGAGTGAGAGGAGAGGAGATAGGAGGCGACGGCTGAAGCTGCAGACACACGGGCAACAGGAGGCAGACTGGCACAGCGGCTACCGGGCGAAGTCCCCGGAATACAGGAGTAACAGGCCCCGCGGCAAAAGTAGCGGCAGACGAGCAACGGACCCACGGGCGGCTGGCACAGCTGGCTACGACTGGGCTACCGGACGAAGTCCCCGGACTACAGGTGCTGCTGGCGACACGACGGCAGCCTCCGTGCAACTTCCCCAAACAGTCCCACTTCCCCGACACACACCCGCTGCTACACCCCTAGCTCCACTCCCACGCACCCCCCTTAAACCCTAAACCCCAGTCTCCCACACATCCACCCCCCTCAGCGACAGCTGCAGCAGTGGGAGACAAAGGAGGAGGAGCAAAGGGAGGAATGAGGAAGTGACACCCCCATACTCGCCACCCCCTGCTTGCCACCCCCAAACCCTAACACAGACATTGTGGGATGGAGGGTAGGCAGGGTGGGATGGCGGCGCTCGCCCCCCTCCCCCAGGCGGCCCCCGAGGGAGCCGCGACGGGCGACGGGAAATGGGGCCGGGGCGCAAGGAGGGCGGCGGGGCCACAGGTGTAGGGCGGCGGGGCCGCGAAGGTGGGGCGGCGGGGCCGCGACAGAAGGGCGGCGGGGCCGCGAAGTGGGGCGGCGGGGCCGCACCGTAAGGCGGCGGGGCCGCGACGTGAGGCGGCGGGGCCGCGAAGTGGGGCGGCGGGGCCGCGACGGGTCCCCGTCGCCCGTCGCGGCGCCTTCAGAGGGCGACGCGGCGAACGACGGGGCAGAAGCCCGCTGCGCGCCTCGGGGCGCACAACGGGCAGAGAACCGCCGCGCGCCTCGGGGCGCACGGTGGGCAGAAAACCGCCGCGCGCCTCGGGGCGCACGGCGGGCAGAAAACCGCCGCGCGCCTCGGGGCACACGGCGTGAAGAAAAAGTAGCAGCGGAAGCGAGGAGGTGGTAACCCACCCACAGGATCGATCCAAGGGGATCGACCTGCTCTGATAGCATGATAAAAGTAGAAGAAAGAAGAGGATTGCACTAGCAAGAATGGGGATACAAATAGCAAACCCTAGAAGGGTTGTACTCGCTATAGAGCACCCCACTACAGGCTAGAGCATAAGATAACATTCTGACACAAATCGCGTGTGCAAGCTGCTGAAGAGCTTGTACGGCCTCAAGCAGAGTCCACTGTTGTAGTACTCGATTCTCGACAATGTGTTGAACAACGCCGGCCGGAGCAAGCATCAGGTCGATGAAGCCCCCTTCTTTGAATTCGATGACGATGAAGTAGCTTGCCGGGTGTTTGTCTATGGCCACGAACTTCTCGCCACCAACAACAGCATTTAGATGTTGAAGGACCTGCGCAACTTGCTGTAGAACACCTTTGAGTTGCGCGATATCAATTCGGTGCAGACCGGTGCAAAAGTACTTGGGGCTGGAGATTGTGAACGACCGACCTGCACGAAGCTGTAGCTCCACCAGCAATCGTATGTCGACAAGCTATGCATGCGCTTCATCAACAAAGAGCAGTTTGGTCGGCGTCCGAAGGTGCCGGTCCCCATCGATTCCTACGCCGAGCTGGAGTTCGACGACGAGGACTTTAAGATGCACAACGAGGAGGAGTATCGTCAGAATTCCGGCTCGCTGCAGTTCGCCGCTACCACAACTACGCCAGATATTGCATTTGCGTGCAGCAATTTGGGGTCCGGCCTGATGGTGTGGAGCGACCAGCACTAGCGTGAGGCCGACCGTTACCTCGCCTACTTGGTTAACGTACGCGACGTTGCTCTCGAATTTGGCGACAGGCAGGAGATGGAGGTTGCATTTGAAGAAGCCGTACGTTGAGGCAACGCCGCCATCTCGTCAAGCGGACAAATCTGTTGCCCAAGTTGGCTCGTCTCCACTTCGTCGGGTAATGAGACGTCGACCGTCGATGACATCTTGCGAGCACCCCGCTGCCGCCGACTGTAGCACTTGCGCTTGCATTCTACTGACGCCGACCATGTTGGCTCTGACATGTCCACGAATCACTCCGCATGTCACCCTCGTACTTTGGTGGTTGATGAGGTTGCTGCCACCTTCGTCGTCTTCAGCTCGGGGAGAGGCGAACTCTCCTTCCACTTCAGCACGGGGAGGGAGATGCTTGCATACCCACTGTGCACTGGATCCTATAAGCATGAGCTCTAAGCCCGCCTCACCGAACTCGCCACGTTGGCAGCGCAAGCGCACAAAAGCCTATCGCGCCTGCAGTGTATCTCCTACTCTTGCTACAATACCTTGGTCATTCATGGCGATTTAGACGGTTGCCGACCTAACTACGGCTTAGGTAATGTGTACCGGTCGGCTTAATATGAAGGTCTATTGCGGGTCCGTTCCACGCTCACCACACCATGCGGGGAGTCACCCTACCATAGGAATAGACTACGTGGGAGGTCATGGGATGTACATGTGATTGTAGCATTGCCTAACAGTTGTGCAAGTTCTTGTGTATTCATTTGGAGAACTGACAAGAGCTTCCCTAAAGAAAGAGCAACGGTACGATGTCAAGGCAAAGCCGATTTAACAAGAAAGGCATGCAACACTCCTAGCAACCTAGCAGGGCGACTATCAAGGATAGCACGAAGGCGGCTTGCCAACGAAGCAGGAAGGCGGCGTGCCAACGCCGCAGCAAGGCAGCTAACCAGTATTACACTAAGGCGGCCTGCCAGCACTGCATACGCAGGTGAACATGTGTGCACATGTGCATCACCTGGTACTAAGTAGGTGCAGGTCTACATAATAGATGTCATGTGATGAACATTCCGCATGTGTCAGGTTGTAGAGCACGTGATGCTCATCCCGCATATCGATTTTCACCAAAACCGCCTGGGCAAAGTTCGCGCACATGCAAAACTTTGCCAATCAATTACTTTGTCGACCAGAAAAATGTCGTTTTGACCGACACCAACGATCGACGATCGGTCGACGCCCGTGGGCCGACACCACGTCGACGATCACCTTCGTCGACCTTCAAGGCTCCATGTCGTCCGCCGACTTTACTTGGTCGGCCAACATCTCGTCGGCTTTGCTGCGATCCCGCCACAGTCGGCGAACCAACCTCGTCAACTTCCTTATTCAAGTCAGTGTCGACCATGAAACCCAGCCGGCTACATACGTTGCGCACCGGACAGCGAAGTCAGCTTCGCTCATGCGAGGGCGGGGGATCCTTTTCTTGTCAACAGTATGTACTAGAGGAAGAGCCATTAAGGTCTAATGCTATTAGCTAGTAAGAAGAGAGTGCTGCTATGAAGATGGTGGAACGGTAAATCAGACCTAGGGTATAATCAGGGTACATATTTCTGGTGCACCACCTTCGAGAATTGATGCAAAATTGTGCAAATAATCAAATTCATTGACCAGTTCTTCAACCCAGACGAGGTCTATGGTTGGTGGCTCACTAAAAAACCCAAGTACCACTTCAAACACTCCTCATACAACAACACTTCATATGACAACCACATCACTACATATCACAACCATGTACCACAAACAGATTTTTGTTAGTACATGGTACGATGCGCACTTAACCATAACTTGTCACTTCACCGAAGGTTTTTCCTGGGCCTTCTTGCCCCTGATTTCTTCGGTGGCTTGGGTGATTTTCTGCTCCCCCCTTTGCCTTTCCACTTGTCCTTCCCCTTTCCCTTTACTGCCTCTCTCCTCACCTTCTCAGCTTCCTCCCTTTTCGCCTTCTCCTCGGCCTCCTTCGCCTTTCTCTTCTCTTCCTCCCGCTTTCTCTTCTGTGCAGCCTCCTCATTTTCCCTAGCTCTGCCCTTCGCAAGCTGCTTTCGCTCCTCCCACTCTCTTGCCTTCTTCTCTTTCTCTGTCTCCCTCTTCACCCCACTCGTTTCCCTCCCTTGCTTCTCCCCATTGGCAGCCTCCCCTGTCTTCTCCCCTCCCTTCTCCCCTCCCTTCTCCCTCCCATTCTCCCCTCCCTTCTCCGATCCCTTCCCCCCTCCCTGCTCTGACATGTTACCACTATCAGCCCCCCCAGCATCTCCTCTCCTCTCCGACCATTTCCCACTCCTACATGATGAGCCTGGGCGTGAGCCTGACGTGGTGTTTGATGGGATAATGGTGTTACCGCTTTCTGTGGTGGAGTCACTGCTCGCAGTGCCAGTATTGGCAGCTGCTGCAGTGGAGTTGCCGGCTTTCTTGGCGGCAGCAGCAGCAGGGTCTTTCTGAATCTTCGCCCATTCATCCAGAGCTGGAAACAGAACAAACGCCAGGGCCAAGAGCAAGAGGAAGGGATTTGAGTGGAGCTCACACGGGTAAGTGCGAAGAAATTACCTTTAATTGAGTGGGTAAATGCCAACCTTTTGAGACTCAATCGAGCTCTGAAAAAACTGATATCGAGTTGACGGACCTTGAAAAAGGACAGCAAAGCAGATCGCAGAGAGAGGAAGAGAGAGGGTCCTGGCTTTTTGAAGCCTTTTCTTACCCGTGCACTGGCTCTTCACCTTTTCTTACCCGTGCACTGGCTCTTCACCTTTTCTTACCCGTGCACTGGCTCTTCACCTTTTCTTACCCGTGCACTGGCTCTTCACCTTTTCTTACCCGTGCACTGGCTCTTCACCTTTTCTTACCCGTGCACTGGCTCTTCACCTTTTCTTACCCGTGCACTGGCTCTTCACCTTTTCTTACCCGTGCACTGGCTCTTCACCTTTTCTTACCCGTGCACTGGCTCTTCACCTTTTCTTACCCGTGCACTGGCTCTTCACCTTTTCTTACCCGTGCACTGGCTCTTCACCTTTTCTTGCCCGTGCACTGGCTCTTCACCTTTTCTTACCCGTGCACTGGCTCTTCACCTTTTCTTACCCGTGCACTGGCTCTTCACCTTTTCTTACCCGTGCACTGGCTCTTCACCAATTCCGCACTCATGTCCGTGTTGACACAGTATGGGTGGTTGTTGCACGGACCCATGAAGTTCCAGTAACAACCATCCCTGCCCCTGCTCTCACAAAATCCGTACTCTTCTTCATGCAACCATTGCCTGCTGCTGTTGCTGCTGCTGCCACCCCCACCATCTGACTTGGCAGGGTCTGTTGCTGATGTGGAGCCCGTGCTGACGTGGCAGTCGATGACACCGTTGCAGAAGCGGATCTTTTCCACACACTGAACGCCGTTCGGACACTTGTCATAAGCCCAGTGGCACTGAAACTTCCGGCACACCTCAGGATCCTCATCATCAACATAAGCAGCTACGTTAAAAGCACTAGTGCTTCCATTACTGTAGTTGCTGTAAACAATACAGTCGTTGATCCCATCGCACCACTTCTCCAATGGCAAGCACCTGCCAGTAGAAGGGCACTGCTTGGTGTTTGTCCATTGCGGATCACAATCAAATGCACGGCAGAGGGAGGGATCCTCGTCTGCTGTGTAAGGCAGTAGGGCTGGTGAACTGGCAGTGATGGGCGACCTGGAATAGACAGGTGAGCAGTCACCTGTAACCTCCCCTTCCACAGCAGCATCTGAGCCTTCAGTTGCACCATGCCTCCCCTGAGCTGCATCATTGGTCGCGCTGGTCACCGGGCAGTCGTCCTTGCCATCGCACCTCAGTCTTTTTGGAATACACAGGGCACTTCCAGGGCACTTCCAGTATCCATATGAGCAAGCATGGCTCTTGCATATCGCCAGATCCTCATCATCGGTTAGAAGAAGTGCTTCTGTGCCGGTATTGGCCAAAGCAGCAGCAGCCGCACCAGCAGCAGCACCATTGGTTCTCCCATCATCATTGTCCCCTAAAGGACAATCGTTCTTTCCATCGCAGACCTCTGAGGCATCAATATACACATCGGCCCACACGCCTCCCTCCTCTTCGAACCCAGGAACAATCACTTTCCGCTGCCGCTGGCACTTGAAGTGCCTGCTCTTCGTCGTCTTGCACACTTCAGGGTTCTCGTCCTCGCCATAAGGCAGGGTCTGATTCGTTACAGGGTGCTTCATTAGTGGGCAGCCAGACACGCCGTCGCATGCCTGCACACACTTGTTGGTCTCGGTGCAGCGAACCTGGTCCGGGTATTGGCAGCCTGGCCCACAGTGCTCGTCTGGGTCACTATAGGGATCTACGCAGCAGAATCCCGAGCCATAGGTGATGTTGCAGGACTGAAGGTCCGAACACACAGCCTGGAGAGGCAAGAAGTGGGAAGCAAGGACATATGTGTGCTTGAAGTGGGTTTGGGAGAGAAATTAAGGAGAGACAGCAGGGAGGAAAGATTGGAAGAGGAGCGAGTGGTCGTCTGGGTCGCTATAGGGATCTACGCAGCAGAATCCCGAGCCATAGGTGATGTTGCAGGACCGAAGGTCCGAACACACAGCCTGGAGAGGCAAGAAGTGGGAAGCAAGGACATATGTGTGCTTGAAGTGGGTTTGGGAGAGAAATTAAGGAGAGACAGCAGGGAGGAAAGATTGGAAGAGGAGCGAGTGGGAGTGGAAAGAGTGAGGAGGAGAGGACTGAGTGGCTGAGAGTGAGAGACACAGAGGGAGAGATTTGATGGGGGAGATTGCCGCTTGGAATGTCATGCATCTACGTATAGGTGCAGAGACTCTGTCCTAGGCTACTGCGGCTTACATAGGTGTTGTGTCGCTGCACACACATCTGTCCTATGTGTCATGGATTTGATGGGCGGAGACAGCGGCTTACATGGGTGTTGTGTCGCTGTGCACACATCCATTCCTCCTGCGTGCACGGCTCGTTCTCACCCCGGCAGTACTTGCCACCAAGTGCCCTGTTGTCGTAGCACTCTCTCTGTCGAGGGCCACACCCATCGCTGCTGTCGCTGTTGCTGTCTTTGCTGCTGCTGTCACTGTTGCTGCTGGTGCTGCTGTTACTGTCATTGCTGCTGCTGCTGTTACTGTCATTGCTACTGCTGCTGTTACTGTCATTACTGCTGGTGCTGTTACTGTCCTTGCTGCTGCTGCTGCTGTCATTGCTGCTGCTGCTGCTGTCATTGCTGCTGCTGCTTTTGCTGTCCTTGCTGCTGCTGCTGTTACTGTCATTGCTGCTGCTGCTGTTACTGTCATTGCTGCTGCTGCTGTTACTGTCATTACTGCTGGTGCTGTTACTGTCCTTGCTGCTGCTGCTGCTGTCATTGCTGCTGCTGCTTTTGTTGTCCTTGCTGCTGCTGCTGCTGTTGCTGTCATTGCTGCTGCTGCTGTTAGTACTGTCAGTGCTGCTGCTGCTGCTACTGTCATTGCTTCTTCTGCTATTACTGTCATTGCTTCTGCTGCTGTTACTGTCATTGCTGCTGCTGCTGTTACTGTCATTGCTGCTGCTGCTGCTACTGTTGTTGTTGCTGCTGCTGTTACTGTCATTGCTGCTGCTGCTGTTACTGTCATTGCTGCCGCTGCTGTTACTGTCATTGCTGCTGCTGCTGTTACTGTCATTGCTGCTGCTGCTGTTACTGGCACTGCTGCTGCTGCTGTTACTGTCATTGCTTCTGCTGCTGTTACTGTCATTGCTGCTGCTGCTCTTACTGTCATTGCTGCTGCTGCTGTTGCTGTCATTGCTGCTGCTGCTGTTACTGTTTTTGCTGCTGCTCCTGTTACTATCATTGGTGCTGCTGCTATTACTGTTGTCGCTGCTGCTGCTGTCACTGTCATTGCTGCTGCTGCTGCTGTCACTGGTGCTGATGTTGCTGCCGCTGTTGCTGCTATTGCTGTCAACGCCGAAACTTCTCTCGCTGCTGCTTCCATTGTTGCTCAAGCCGTTTCTGGCGTCATCTCCTGAAGCGCTGATGTCACTGCTTGCGTCATCGCTGTAGAAGTCCCACCCAGGATCCTGTGCCGCCACCTTTTGAGAGGTCGGTCGATCAAGAGTCAAGAGTGTGGGTGCCAAGGAGGGGAAACAATGGGGCAGGTAAGGTTACAAGGCTGGGAAGGAAGAGGTGATACTGGGGGAAGAGAGCAGATAATAACCTATACCTACATAGTACGAGGGCCAAACATTTGTGGGATGAATAGCTGAAGTGTCATAGTATAGCATCACCAAAATGTTTCTGACCCTAGCGTGACCCACCTTCCGGCCTGACCCAAGCCTGTCCTGTAAATGCCCCCAGAGTTTCTTTGGGGTCAAATTGGGGTTAGTGGTCAAAACAGGGTCAGTTCTGGGTCAGTGAGTTTTTTGACCCAAAAGTAACTTGCCCCGCACAGCCCTTGGGGATCTGGGGATGCGGGTTCGATACTTGTCGTTGGCAGTTGTCGACTCCAATTTTCTATTGACTTAGAAGAATGTTGTTTGTAAAAAAACAAAATATCTGGCAGCGCAGTGATTGGGTTCGATTTAACAACCTTCGGATTAACAATCCAATCGTAAACACTCTCGACCACCGGACACACAAATGACGGAGGTTGTTTGACAAAAAGACAGGACCTTGGAACAGAAAAATCGAGATGTTGTTTGTTATCCTTATCGCGCCACCTGTCGCCACCTGTCGCGCCATCTGCCATACAAACACCTCATCGCATCATGACGCGTTCTCTCTGGCTAGATCGTGCAAAAACCGATCTAGTACCGTAACAAAACCTCGCGCATTGCACTGAAAACATCTGGACATTTCACTTAACCACGTTGAGAACCGAACCTGCGTAGGATCGACCGCAGGATCGCCTTTCAGTGGACGCGCCCTCAACTAACCATCCACAACCCCACCTTCTCGACATTCCCCCTTCTTGTCCACTCACTTCAGCATTTCTGTTTCACTTCTACGTGTTCCATGTTTTAATCTCGCTATTATCTTGCCAGCTAGTAGCTCAGCCTTTCCTATCTTCTAGGAGTCCTTATCTTGCCGTTCCCTGGTCCTTATCTGTTCGCTCCCTAACCCTTAAACTTCACCATCGATGAGCTGTTTCTACAGATCTATCAGTTACTGCGCCGCCTGTCAGTTTTCTTAAATCTATACGCTTCTAATATATTTTATTGCTTCCCGTTATGTACCTTCCTCTAGCAGAAAACGAGTGTCAACACAACATGAGAGTCTTAGGCGACAGAATGATAATCAATCATGGTGAGTCGTACGGTTATGCGGATCTGATTTTGTTACCTAGATATGTTATACTCTGTCTCTCCGCCATTGCGATTTATCAAAGTCGTCTTTCCAAGCAGATTGTTTTTTCGTTTCCCGTATAACTTTGTCGTCTTTCCTTTGCTTATTCGCAGAACGGAAAGTGGAGAGAATGGAGGTATACACGTGAAGTTTATTTTTATTATGTCATTCCTAAATCTGTTATACTCCGTCTCTTGTCTCTCCACCATTGCGATTAATCAAAGTCGTCTTTCATCCGCTTGATGTTGTTTCACTTTCCCTATAGCTTTGTAGTCTTTCCTTTGCTTATTCGCAGAACGGAAAGTGGAGATAATGGAGGTACGCACGTGAATCTTTTTTAATTATGCCATCCCTAAATCTCTCTTGGTTCACTGAGTAGTAAACGTGATGATTTCAGAGTGTCTACTTGCAGGGGGACTTATTCGAGATAACATGGAAGTGAAGATCTTTTCGTTATTCAGACATGCCCAATGTCATTCTAGGTCACTGCAGTGAAGGTGATTATGTCAAAACACTGTCAAGAGTTGAACGAGAATGAGAGAAGATTAAGTAGGGCCTAGGCTTAGTAGCCTAGGCCCAAGTAGGATATCGAGCGGGTTTCTCCTAGGGTGAGTATCGAGTGAGTTGAAGAGAAGTTGGGAGAATGGGGAGCTTCACTATAGTTTTGAAGTACATATAGCAAAGGAAACACATAAGGTGCACCACCAATACAAAGTTTAAATAACTACACTACTGCTAGAACTACATGCAGTTATAATAAATATAATTTTGACATCCCCCCGTAACTGCATGCAGGAATAGCTAAGTGCAGAGCACAACCTGCAGAGGTACACCAACGAACAATAAAACAAGCAACAGCAGGTACACCCCCTCCATCTCCTCACCCTCCCCCTTCCCCTCCCCCACACTGCTGCAGAAGCAGCAGAGAAAGGGGGAAGAGAGGAGAGGTGGAGGGACGGCTGCTTGTTGCCTCACACCCGCCACCCCGATACCACTCCCCCTGCTCCCCCACATCCTCACACCCTCCTCCCCCAGCGGCAGCTGCAGCGGTGGGACTGAAAGAAGGAGGAGGGGAAGGGAGAGAGGTGACGCCACACTCCAACACCCTCCACCCCCATACCCTCCTCCCCACGGCTGCAGGGAGGCAAAGGAAGAAGGGGGGTGGGAAGGAAGAAAGCCGCAGAGCGGCGAAGAGGTGTCGGTGCAGATGGGTCAGGGGCGGCTTCAGGGAGTGCAGGGGCGGAAAGAAGGCCCGTCGCGGGCCAGTGCCACGGGGCGCACGACGGGTAGAATAAAAGGGCCCGATCGTGTGCCTCGGGGCACACGACGAGCAGGGCACCATCGTGTGCCACGGGGCGCACGATGGGCAGTTGAAGGGCACCGTCACGTGCCACGGGGCGCGCGACGGGCAGGGAAGGAGTCACACGCCCGTGGGCGGGACAAGGTAA